ATTTTATCATTTTTTTTTCTATTTTTCAATTTATCATTTTATCAATGTATCAATTAATTTACTTATGAATTTATCAATTTATCTTTGTATCAAGTTCAATTGATTAAATCATCAATTTATCAAATTATAATTTTATCAATTTATTAATTTATCAACTTTTCAATTAAACAATTTATAAATTTTTCATTCGATCAATTAATTAATTCATCAATTAATGAATTTATCAATTTATCATTTTTTGAATTCTTCAATTAATCAATAGATCAATTATTCAATGAATAAATTTATCAATAAATAAATAAACAAATAAATTAATAAATCAAATAAAAAATAAAAATAATAAATTATAAATAAATAAATAATAATTGAACAATCAATCAATTTTTCAATTTATCAATTCTTAAATTAATCAATTTATAAATATATCAATTTATCAATTTATAAGTGGATCATTTTATCAATTTATGCATTTTTCAATTAATAAATTTATAAATTCACCAATTGATCAATTTATCAATTTATCAAAATTGTCAAACAATCAATTCATTCAATTTAACAAATAATCAATTTATCAAATTAGCAATTTAGCGATTTACCGATGTACCAAGTTATTAATTAATCAATTTATTAAATAGTCACTTCATCAAAGTATCAATTAATCAATTTATCCAACTTATCCATTTGCCAATTTATCAATTTATCAATTTTAAAATTAATCAATTTATTTATCAATCATTTATCAATTTATCAACTAATCAATTCATGGATTTATCAAACATACAATTTATTAGTATATCAATATGCCAATTGATCAATTAATCAATTTATTAATTTATAAGCGTATCGTTTTATCAATTTATTAAATTTCCACAATATCAATTTATCAATTTACCAATTTGACAGTGCATCAATTTATCAATTAATCAATTTATCAATTTATTAGTTTATCAATTTATCAATTTATAAATTGATCAATTTATAAATTTATCAATTTATCAATTTATTATTTTAAAAACTGATACACTCAATTTATCAATTCATTAATTTATCAATGCATTAATTTATCAATTTACTAATTTATCAATTTGTCAATTTATTAATTTATCACTTAATCAATTTATGAATTTTTCAATTCCTCTATGTATCAAGTTGTCCGTTATTGACTTTATCAAATTGTCAATAATCGATAGCCAATTTATCAATTTACCAATTGATCAATTTATAAATTTCTCAATTTATGAATAAATTAATTTGTCAAGAAGGCAGCTCCCACACCTGGACCCTACCTATCGACCCATCAACTCATGAACCGGGAACCAATGGCTTTACTTCCCATCCGAAGGAAGGCGTGATCAGAGATGTTATGCCTCAGAACATCCCGGCGGCGCCGACTGGGATTGAACCCAGGCCTGCTGGGGTGAGAGGTAATCACGCTTACCACTACACTAATTTATTTATGTATTTATTTATTTAATATTTACAGTGTCTGACAAAACAATAAGACTACCAGCAGATGGAAACTTGCCAGAAGCACACTAACTGCCAATTCGAATTAAATTCATACGACACTTAGCGGCGAGCATCTCTATTAACTTGACGTGTGATTGCGCTGCCGCATGGCAAATAAACAATCGAACTGTATACGCCAGCGTTGTCAGATATACCGATTTATCGGTATTTATACCGATTTCAGAACTAGATACCGATATACAGAGAAGGTTCCTCAGAATACCGATTTTTGAGATCTTATACCGATTTTTTAACTAACCAAAATGATTATTGCCTGCCCGCGCTCGAATTTTGGAGAAAATTATTATGAGAGACTTGTATCTTATTGAATATCTCAAATTTTTTGAGCCATTAAAATTCTAAAAAAAAATATCCTCAAAAATGTCTTATGGATACTCTGTCGATTAATGTTTCAATTTCCTCACCGTTTTTGACTACCCATGAATCGATAAACAGTCGATGGCTCTTTCTGTTGATTCCGGGGGAATCGGGAAATACTTTTTAAACATTATTTAATTTCCTGAATTTTCTTCCAATTTTCCCCTGGAATTTTCTTCCACCTTACATCGTAAATTATTTTTCGATTCCTCTCGGAAACTTATTTCGCCTTCCCTTGGAAGATTCTTCAGTCTTCGTTCGAATGATTCTTCCATCTTCTCCCGCCAGATTTTTTCAACTTTCCCGGAACTACAGGGATGCTTCCAGATTTTGATTGCGGATCCACACTAGCTGCAGGAACTTTTAAGAAGTTCTGAAACTTCAGAAAAGTTCAGACTTTTAAGTAATTTTCAATAACTTCTGTTAAAATTCGCGAACTCTAGTGCACTTAAGGAAATATCATAAATATTTTGGATACTTCCACAAGTCCAAAGAACTCCCGGAAAATTTAATGGTTTTTCAGGACAGTTTAGTTTCAGGAGAATTGAGAGAACTTTAGGAAGCTCCGAGAACATCAGGACAGATCAATAAACTTCAAGGAAATCGCTGAAATTTTAAAGAAATTCCGAGAAACTCAGGCGATTTCCAAAAACTTCAGCAATGTTCAGAGGGGCTCTTGCAAATTTTAGAAATGTAAGCACATTGTGAGAACATTTTATGGGAAGTTCCGTGCTTATTAATGACAGTGTTGAAAACTTTTAAAAATAAGAAAAATCGGAAAGAGAAGAGAGAACTTCAATGCTGATGTTACAATAGAAAGAAAGAAAATGGTGAGAGTGCTTAAGAAATTTCGTAATCTTCAAGAAAGTCTAGAGACCTCATTACAATCAGGAAAGTTTCAAGTATTTCAAAGATGATCAGAGTACTCAAAAACAGCCCTATCAACTTAAGGAAAATTACAAGAACTTTTAAGGAATTCCGAGGAAATACGGAATATTCCTAAGTACATTTCAGGAATGTTTCAATAACTTCAGGGACATTGCGGGGTCTTCAGGGATGTTTTATGACCATTTGGAAAATTTTCTGGATCATTATAACATCCCCCAGGAGCTCTTTCTTCCGGAATTATGTCCTTGTTTCTTTCAACTGTTCCGTAAACGCTCTGGCTTCCGACTTTCTCAAGAATATTTTTTTTTTTTCAATCTCTAGGAAGTTTCTGCCAGCGTCTCCAGGAAATTTATTTTGTCTTCTCCAGCAAATTCAATTAAACTTTCCTCAGAAATTTCTTTTGTCTAGTTCTGGAATTTTGTCCAGTTGTTTTTTTTTTACTTCTATTGGAAGGTTTTTCCGAGCCTCTTCTGGCTTCCCCTGGAAATGGCTACTTCTGGAATTTACTTCCGATTTCCGAAACTTATCTGCCTTCCTCTTTGAATGTGAAATCCGATATTTTCTGAAAGTTTCTTTAAATTTTCGCCAGAAGTTTCTCAATTTATGTCTTGGAAGTTCCGCGGATGTTTTTCCGACTTCTCTCAGAACTTTCCTCAACTTTCCTCCAGGAAACTGAACTTTCTTCTTTCTCTGGATGTTGTTTTCAGCTTCCTCCAGAAGCTAATTCAAACATTCCCCGGAGTTTTGTTTCGGAATTTTCCGATCATAATCCAAATCCGCTTTCAAAAACGGCAAAAGTATAAAATTAATTAAAAAAGTAAATACCGACAAATACCGATTTTTTTAAACCTTCTTTAAAACATTTTGGCAACGCTGGTATAGGCATCGAAAAGCTGCGTTGAGTGCGAAATCCGTGCGACATAAGTATTAGACCACTTTAATATTCTGACTGATTGTGCAACAAATATCGCTGAATTCTTGAGGTAGGTCGCTTGGTAATTTGAAATAATGTCACTTTATCACAATCGACACAAAATTTGAAGTTTTCTATCATTTGTTTTTATTTTTGAGCAGTTCCAAAATATATAAGAAATCGACTAAAACAACATGGGCCGGAACTATCACTGCACAAATCAGCAGCAAAACTGGATTAACAGCAAGCACAGGCAGGGAAAATCCAACGAGAGATTGCCGGAATGCTGAGGTAATATTTGTGTACAATGCCATTGATTCGCCATAAAGTGCGAATGGCATCTGGACGACCCTGGAAGACTACAGATAAAGATGATGGTCACATCAAACGGCTTTGGCAAACCCAGAGAAGAGCTCCAATCGATTCTAAATCAGGTCCTAATCATCATTCGAAAATTTGAACTCATTTGGTTGCGATCTCATACTGCACTGGCCCGTGTAATTTTGCAATCTGCTCTTATATGAAATTTGATCAACTATAACTTTGCCGAAGATCACGTTCTGATTGAACTTCAAGATAATTAGTTATTAATTGATATCGAAACCGATAACTTTCAGGGTAATACTGCATCTTGCACTGAGACATAATAACCTGGATTTATCTGATTTATTCTTCGCACCAAGTACACCAATGTTGCCTGCTGAGCAGGTGGTGTTCAATTAAAAAGTGTTCTTCAGCAAAGTTGTAACTGTCCTATAAGTACAGATAGCAAGTTTATCCATAAATCAATATGACGCAAATCTAGTACGAGGAGAACAAAAAGTTCACTTTTTGCATAATAATTCCCAACGCAGTATGAGGCAACCAAATGAGCTTAAATTTTGGGAGAATGATCAGTATCTAATTTGGAATCGATTGAGCTTGGTGGATCAACATCGATATTTTGAACCACCCTAATATAGATGGATCAACAAGCAACGTTCCTCATAGGTGGGCAGTCTAAAAGGATCATTTTAGGGTTATCCTCGAAGTGCGTAGCGAATGAATCTACGTTGAACTGACTAGGTTCGCTAGGCTTCATTTTGATAGAATGGGTTCTAAACAGCAGCACCATACTGTAAAGTAGAGTGTGTTTGAAAAATCCCAAAAAAACTGCCAACATAATTATTCGGTGACCGCAAATACGACATTGGAAAATCCTGACATGTTCTGAATGCATCCGGAGAAGCGACCGACTCAGATAACTAAAACTTATTAGAAAAATTACTCGATAAAGAAACGGTGAAGGTTCATGGTGTCGGGGATAGCTTACCTTGAAACCCAGTTCACCCGGGTTTTCTGGATCGAAATCGTACAGTGCCGTACAGCATGGCTGCGTTGGTTTGGCTGGCATCGGTGTCCTCGCAGGCGAGCGCATCGGCGATGGCAATGGTGAAGCTACACAAAACGAGAAACAGAAAAGAAAATGTTAATCAAGTTGCTAAATTAAAAACAATGCAATCTCAACTTGCACTAATATCACTCGTAATCGTAAGATCTAGTCTCTATTGGCTACGTTTACACTTTCTAAATACTGCTTGGGACACGTTTCTACTGTCAACTACGTCACTTTCTGATTTCATATTCTAACGGGGTTAAACCAAACTATTCCTGTATGGATGTAGGAATGTGTTACACAGAATGAAGACGACACACAAACGACAATGGAAACGGAATACTATAGAAACATAAGGTAAAGCCACAAAATATGGAATGGTGCAGAAACACATCAAACCTAAATGAAAAATGTCGTCACAAAAAATTAGAACTGATGGCAACATGCGGGAGGAAAGTTCAGATAATAGACAGCAGCTATGGTAAATTTTATGGTACCACTACGTAGTTTAGACATGGCAGCTGGAACTATCAAGTAAGTGGGTTACTGTCATTGATTATTACCAAACAGAACATGGTTTGTACAAAATTAATCAAATTCATTATAACTTAGGCATGCAATTCAATTTGAGAAATTAATCCTATAGCAAGATCGATTCAAACCAAACTAAAAATGGCTTGAGATCCAATTGAAGACCACACAAACTATGAGTTACAATTTGGGTGTTAGATAAAAGCAAACGAAATTTTGGTGAATATTCAAACTTCAATTTTCAATGATTGATAAAAATGCGTGTGTAGTTCGGAGACGGAAATCATAGCGCAAAAACGAAAAGTAAAACTCAGCTCGTACGAGAATGAATGACGAAATGGGCTTTGAATTTTGATTACCATTGGTGGAACGCGCCTGCGCTTGACCGTTACCCAAAAGTTCCAGATGAGTCGGTTTATTGACCGGTGAATTGAGACGTGATGATGAACCGCCTATGTAGGTCCAGAGAAATAAATAGAGAGAGAAAGAGAGATACAGAGATTGAGAGACGAAAGGACTCGTGAAACGGAAAACAAATAGTGGAAGAATAAGGGGGTTGTTTCGTTTTCTTTGGATATTGTTTGTGGGTGTTGAAGAATCGAAACTTTTTTTTTTCCGGAAGAAAATACTTTGAGTAGGAAAACACAAGGTCGACAAGGAAATTATATGAAACTTTCAAGAAGACAAACAATAAAAGAACATATTCATTCACACCGAAAGAAAAAAAAATACGTTTCGAAAGAGAGATTAGTCAAAGGTATGAATTCGAAAACATTGATTTTCTAACAAGTTGGTTGAAGATTGTTCGAAGATTCGATTCAAAACACTGACGATTGACATGAAGAAGGTGCGTATATCTTTTGGGGACAGACTGGCGATAAATCAAGAAGTTTGCAAAATTTGATTGAAATAAATTGAAACTAAAGTAAACTATGAATAAATATTTGGAAAACAAATGTTACACATGAACGAAAAATGCTATTTGAGGTGAAATAAGTTTATAAGAATACGTCTATCATGAATCTGTATTAATGGATTGAATATGGTAATATAGTTAGACAAATGTGGACAAAATTCCCATCACCATATGTACCACCAGCAATGAAGCTACTGCAATTTATCAATAAATTCTGATGATTCATGACTTTCCATGCTGCTGTAGGAGTAAAAAGTTAAGTTGTTACATTACATTACTCCACCTTCAATGTTTATCATGTGTGCGTTAGTGCATACAAGCCGGTGCTGAAACAGAAAACCTGAAAAAATGTCTGCCTACGCCAATATAATCTAATGAGTACTGCTCGATATGGATTAAACTACGGAAGGTTTTTCTTTCGCGAGCTTTGTGACATGCAATCATCTGATTTGGAAGCCTGACATTCTTTAAACCAACTTAGTACTCAGATGAGCTTTTTTAAGACTAACTTTACATGAAGCACCCAAGTACGGAATAAACGTTAAAACGCTGATCTAACGCTATATATTTGTATAAAATTCCTGGTTTCATTCATATCAAGCACTCTGCCCAAGTAACCATAGGCACGTTCTTTCATCTTTTTGACTATATATGTGCGTCATCAGAACTTACAAACACTGGTATATCAGCATTGTTCAGCTGTATATATCCAAAATGGCGAAATAACGGGCCTCTGGTTAATTGGGTGTGCCTACATAATCAAGAGTACATAAGGGAACTAGGGGCAAGAAAGGTCAGCGTAACGTTAGAGCGTTTATATATACCGTGAATATTTATAGGAGTTTGTGTACCGTAACGTTACTGTTATTTTATGTTTGTCATTTTTTTCATAAAATAATTCATCTGGAAGACTTGATAAGGTTGTACCGAACAACCATTTTATATCTTTTAGAGTACGGTAACTTTTGTTTTCAATAGGCGGCAAAAACACACATTTTGAAGCTGCAACGGTTGTACTTCCCTTAACAGATCGTTTCGCTGAGCTGTCTTTCCAGTTTCTCATCCGTTGCGAAGTTATGAATCCATTGGTAATAGAGAACTTTGAGAAGTTGCCCGACCGAAATCCGCAAACTCGATTCATGAATTTGTACTACGAATACATGACGCTGGAGGTTGGGCCGTCTTCGTTCAACTCCAATTGTGCAGGCTTCGAAGACTTCTACAGTTACTCTGTACATTTTGATTTGACTATGAAGCAAGAAATCCATGGAATACCAGATCCTCATCGTTCGATGGTTGTCCCCTCAATTTTCGCTATCAAGTACCGCCACGTCAGTCAAGAGAAGAGATTTTTCACAGATGGGTCAACCATAAATGCGTCCACTGGTTTGGAGTATTCAATGAATTTCATAGCGTCTCCTATAAACTTCAGAAACCCTGCTCAGTTTACGGTGCGGAGCTAGCAGCTGTATCTTTAGAGCAAATTGCCTAACTTCCCCTGACCATTACTTCATTTACACGGACAGTCTAAGCTAACTGGAGGCTATTCGTTCAATGAGGCCGATAAAGCACTCGACGTATTTTCTGTTTGGAATACGATCTACCCTGAGTGCTTTATCTAATTGCTCTTACACTATCGCCTTGGTTTGGGTCCCTTCTCATTGCTCTATTCCGGGTAACGAGAAAGCGGACTCGTTGGATAAGGTGGTCCATAGCGGAAGGCAACATTTTGGAGCGACAAATCGCCTTCAATGATTTTTTCTTCATTGCTCGTCAGCAAGTCCTCAGCAACTGGCAACAAAAGTGGAATGATGGTGATTTGGGAAGGTTCGTGATTTCGTAGACAAAAATCAACAAGCAAACTACTGCGGTTGATTTTGTAAGCTGTGATATCGCAGCTCGGAATATCAAGCTAACAAAACTCACCAACAGTAAATCTCACCAAACTGTAGTGAGATTGAGTTTAATGATTTTTGCTTTACTCCCGAATGCAACCGAAATATCCATAACGGCTTGCAGCAGTCCCTTCGCGTCTGCCATCGGTGAAGATAAAAAAGAGATAGCAACTCTCAGCTTGATTTTTGCACGTTTTGAATAGTCTCGCAATATCAAAGGAGCTTGTAAAATCAATATCAAGCATGATGTTTTGTTTCACTTTCACGCGTGATATTGGGAGCGCATGAGAGCGGAAAAATATCAATTGATTTCTGATTTTGCCAACTCTGCCCACAGGTGTCGAACAAACCATGGTTTAAAGGGTTGAACATTGGACTTATGCAAATTTTGACATTTTCGCTCCACAGCGAGGGGGGCGACATATCTAAATCTCAATTCTAGATGCTCAAAAAATCTCACACTAGCGAATCAATCTTCGAAAAATCATCTTTCATTTCTCGCATCTACTTGCATCGTGCTTCATCTTTTAGCAGGAAATTTTCAAAATCGACAAAAATCTTCCTTCTATCTACTCAGCATCTCAGCAACTGCATCGTAGATACAGTCGCCCCCCTCGCTCCACAGTGCTCATACGGTTCAAAATCGGGTCCTGACTAGCCTTCCAAAATTTGAACTCATTCGATAAGAAACTGATTTGGCACAAACCATTTGAAGTTTATACGGAAATTACTATGGGAAAACCAAATGTTTTGTTCATATCCATCTAATAATTTACCATATCGCTATGCTTTGAAAAAATTTTCTCAGTTACAACTTTGTCCAAAACAACTTTTCAATATAATGTAAGCATCAAAAGATATCAATAATTCAAGCCACTAATGTCTAATGATTATACTCAATCAACTTTTCAGCAGGCAACATTGGTGTTTCTGGCGCTTAGAATAGAGCACAAAAATCATGGCTACTATGTCACACTGTAAGATACAGTGTTGCTCACAATACAGCTGCTTGATCATGCCATAAGATTATCAATCTCTTAAACAACTAATAACTATTTTAATATTAACTTGTAGCAGAGAAAATTTTCCATAAGTATAGCTTATAGGTAAGAAGACAATGAACAAAAAGTTTGGATTTCCCATAATAATTTCAAATGGTTTGTGCCAAATCAGTTTCTTATCAAAGAAGTTCAAATGTTGGGAGACTAATAAGGACCCGATAAGGAACCGTTTGTGCACTGTGGAGCGAAAATGTCAAAATTTGCATCAGTCTATTGGGCATGGACCGTGACTTTAACCGCGTCATGAATAGGCTCATGAACAATCACTTTTCATTAGACTCGCATCTCTATCGGATTGGGCTCTCAAACAGCAATCAGACGGTGACGGTTACCACCACATCGAGCATGTTGTTTGGTCTTGTACTTTATACTGTGTTGCCATAACTGAGTTGTGTGAATCCCTTAGGACCCGATGAAAGCAACCTACTTCACCCGTTAGAGACGTTCTGGCTAGCCGCGATCTCGAATATATGAAGTAGATTTACAATTTTCTATTTAGCAGTTTTTTTTAATTGATGTGTCAGTCCTTTCATCGTTCTCCCAACATAGCACCTTTTTACCCTTCTTACAAAGAAGGGTATAGATATCACTTGAAAAACCGACTATCGATCCGAGGCCCGGAGGGCCGAGTGTCATATACCATTCGACTCAGCTCGACGAGATCGGAACATGTCTGTGTGTGTGTGTGTGTGTGTGTGTGTGTATGTAACGAAATGAATGCGCTCACGTTTCTCAGCAACCGCTCAACCGATTTGGACAAACTCGGCGCCAAATGATAGGTCTTGGGGTCCCATTGAACGCTATTGAACGGTTTTGGAATCGGTGAACCGGTTCCGGAGATATGGTCGGAATAAGATCCGGTGAATATGGGCCTTCACGCTGGATTTAACGGAAAACGTATCAAAACCATCATGCGACACATCAAATTACTACAGAATTCAAAAATAAGATCAATGCAAGTCGTGTTAAGTGTCCCAGACCACATTGGACACACTTGGACATGTTCCGGGTACCCCGGGGAAGTTGCTTGAATATGAATTGAATTAAAACCCATTAAATCACATTAAAATACGATGATAAGGTGATTGGTAGCCTCACCAAATAGACTACACCCGGATATATTCCGGGTACCCCCAGGCAGTGGCGTAGCGTCACTGGATGACACGGGGGTGGGGGGCTTGGTCACTGATAATGACAATAAAATAAATAAACTTGAATAAGTAAGAAGGGTCTGATCACACCATAGGTGGATAAATTCGGGTTTTGTGTTTCGTTTCAGTCGTCTCATCAATTGTCCATTCAACTTTCAAGATTCAGAGCACTTTTCCGCACTGCTCTTCCACGTTCATTCACCAGTGCAACGGTGACGGAGTTGAAACGACAATTCACCCCCATGTATCTTATTCCAAGTCCACGTCCGACCTGTTAAAAAATTGTTTGCCTTAACCTCGAGTAAGCCGCAAGTATTCAGTCCCGATTATACAAAGTTTAGTCATAAGAAATATTGTTATACATTGAATTACGGCTCCGAAAAGCTAACGCAATTGAGCCTTTACAAATAAATTATATTGAAAAAAAACTACAAGGGACAGCCCTATTGGATTGTACGCAATGGTGACGTAGGACTACGTGGTCTTATATGATAAATCTTATTTGTTAACTGCAGCAGGAGCTTGTGTTTTGTGTAGGAATAGGAATTTCAGCAGGGTTCTTTCTGTTTATACTCTATTAGTATGATGCGCTTGACATAGATGACCCCCAGCGACTCACGAAGAACTACTGATTCCGATCAATAGCGGTGCGGCTTCTTCCTCCTTCCATGGATGCTCATGTGGGCTCTGTGTGAAAATGAAGTTCCCGAATAAGGCAATTCAACGAGAGCACTATCCGATTCCTGCGATTGAAACCTTCTTAAACAAACATCGTGGAGCAACATATTTTTCAAGGCTGGACATGACCTCGGCTTATTATCATATAGAGCTGCATCCGCATTCCCGTTCAATAACAACGTTCATGACACACCAAGGGTTGATGTATTTCAAGCGACTCATGTTCGGGATAAACTGCGCCCCGGAAATTTTTCAACGGGTGATGACGGAAATATTGGCTGGGATCGACGGAGTTGTAGTTTACATAGACGATGTTGTAATCGCCGGAAGCACGCGCAAGGAACACGACATCAGGTTGCAGTAAGTCCTGCCCGTCTTGGAAAGCAACAATGCAAAACTGAATGTGTAGAAGTGTGTATTTGGAGTGACAGAGTTGGAAATACTGGGCTTCAACGTGAGCACCCTGGGAATATGAGGCAATTCTGAACTTCCGAACGCCAGAAACAAAAGAGGAAGTTCGAAGCTTTTTAGGATTTGTGAACTTTGTAGGTCACTTCATTCCAGACCTGTCCACCCGTACCGAGCCACTTCGGAAGTTCATCCGCGGGGAAGCTGAAGCATTTGGACAAAGTCAGCAAGCTGCTTTTGATGATCTTCAACAGGAATGAACTACAAAAGTAAGGAAGTTGGGGGTTTTTTTTTGATCCCAAAGACACGACGGAACTTTATGTAGATGCCTCCCTAGTAGGCTTGGGAGCTATGCTAATCCAACGTGACGAGGCAGGGTGGCCCAGAATCATTAGCTTTGCCTCGAAAGGTCTGACAAATGCTGAATGAATGTATCCTCAGACGCAGAGCTGTAGTATGGGCGGTTGAAAAGTATTACTTGTACTTATTTGGACTTCGTTTTACGATCTTTACGGATCATAAAACGCTTGAATACATATTTGAAGGGAAGTACAGAGATGGAAGACGAGCTTGTTCACGAGCGCAGAGATGGGCTTTACGCCTTCAGCCCTACGACTTTCAAATTAAGTATATTCGGGGAATGACCAGTTATGGCTATATGTAGGTTCCTATTATGGCGTGTCCCAATTATGGCCTATGGGAATTCCATAGGTCATAACTGGAACACACCATAAGGTATGGCCATAACTGGTACACCTACCCTATTAGATGTGATATCTCGTTTGTGTACCAAGAAAGATGCACCGTTTGATGAACATACCCAACACTTTCTCTGTGCGGTAGGAGAATCGCCGGCGGCTATCACACTTGATGAGATCCGTAATGAGACCGTACGTGATTCGATGCTTACTGGAGTTATTGAAGCTGTGAAGTCACAGTATTGTAAATTAGGTAAAGAATTAGGATTGATTGATGGTGTCGTGGTACGTGAGGACAGGATTGTATTACCACTGAAGCTACGTTGTCGAGCGTTAGAGATTGCACACCGTGGACATCCCGGGATTGTAGCAATGCTTCGGAATTTACGATATTACGTATGGTGGCCATGCATGGATAGAGATGTCTGCAGTGCTGTGAAGGAATGTGTGGGATGTACCGCTGTTAGTAGCCTGTAGAACCCATGAGTCGCAAGACAATGCCGGAAAGGGCTTGGCAAGATATCGCCATTGACTTTCTGTCAGCCAAAGAGTTCGCTATGTTTTTAGTTGTAGTGGAGCTGAAATGAGGAGCACGACTGCGTGCAAGACAATGGAAGCGCTGGAGCGGATTTTCAAAGACCACATATATCCCGAGACGATTCGGTCGGACAATGGTCCACCGTTCTCCAGCGAAGAGTTTTTTTTCTCTGTTTTGTGTCAGCAGGAAGATGGTGAAAACCACACCACACCACGGGATTTTGAAGACGCTACGGATTTCAAAAGCTCTTAAAAAAGATTGGAGGAAGAATCTCTAGGAATACATACACATGTATAATACCAACCCCCCCCCCCCCCTTAGAAAGCCCACTGGAGCTGCTTACATGGACGCCAGTTTAAGGACCTGTTGCCATCACTGCGGACAGATCCACATTGGAGACGAGATGAACACATTCGGAACAAAGACGCGCTGAAAAAATGCAAGGCAAACTTTACGCAGATCATCGTAGACATGCTAAAGAGTCTGATATAACTACCGGTGACATAGTGATGACAAAGAGTTATGAATCTGGCAAGCTCGAACCAACCTTCAAAATGGAGAAGTTTACTGTCCTTGAGCGAGCCGGTAATGATACAATCATTGTTAACGAAGGCGGAGTGAAATATCGGCGCCCAGTTGCTCACTTGAAAAAGTGGCCATCTACAGCATCATCTTCCACCACCTCTGATTATTCTACAGGTCTCCAGCAACCCTCAAAACAGGAATCCTCGGAACAAGGAATCTCGCAGACGCCACCACACATGTCCACGGAAGAGAACCTAACAAGTGCAAAGGAGGATGCAGTTGACCTCGAGAAATTTTCCCTGCCACGGAAACGAATGAAGCAGCCAGATGACGATTCGGTGTCCGGGGAGAGTCGTCAGAATGGAAAAAGTGCCTAAACGATATAGGGGCAATGCAGGTAATATCGACCTAAGTGTCCCTAATTTGGGCTCATACATAAATTCAGCAATCGACTAAATTTTCAATAGCAACCAAAAATATCCATTAGTAACGTCCCAATAACGCGTTCATCTAGATAGAATTGATAAATAGCAGATTTTTAGCGATGGGCCCAATCTTAGATGCATAGGCCAACACATCTGCGGTTTTGGATGGAAGTTTTTCGCCTATAGGAATCATGTCCACTCACAAACTATTTGAGATACTGTACACAAAGATTGATCATGTAAGTATTAGAACATGAGTTCCACCTACCTCCCGGTGTGAATACGTGCTGTTATTACTCTACCAACATGCGCTATGGTTCGCTTCCTCACTTGTCTCAGCAGGTTCCTAATGTACAAAATAATCCTTTCTCTTCCAAGCTCAAGTCGCGTATGTTGTTGGAAGGAGCTAGGTTACATATCGTTACAAGTCTAAGTAAATCCACCACCACCATCACCACAATTACAAGCGGAAGCTCATTGCCTAATCAAACAAAACAAATGATATCGCGAAACGTAAAACGATTTCCCTGGATACGTATCCTAAAATAACTTAAGAATAAAGTCGTCGTTTCGCGGTTGATTCAGTAACAACCCAGCATCATGCATTTTACGTAACAAATTGCATCTTTGGTGGTACTAGAATAATGCTGCGCTGTTCCATCCTCAATTTAACCGTATAGAATAAAAATAAACATAATTTGTACAAAACATAAAATAAAAGAAAGTAAAACATAAATCACCTGACCAGGGATCATTGAAGTTGTTGTTAGCGAATTTTGACCCGGACTTGCTAGTGGAGAAAGTGGTAGTAGTAGTGGAGCTAGTATTATACACACTGTTACTGCTGTTAAAATTGGATTTCCCATGGTTATTGTAATTTCTGCGCGCGGCAGAACCGGTGGTGGCCGAGGGCGCCACCGCCGCCGCCGCACCCGGTTGATCCCACGCATTCAACCAGCCGTCGACGGGGGATTGCGTATTAACCGATCCGTAGGGTGGTGGTTTCAAAAACGAATTACTATCATCGCGACTGTGGATACTGCCTCCTCCACCGCCACCACCGGTACTGCCACCCCCGCCGCTCCTCGTCGACATCGACGATAGGCTCTGCTGTGACCCGTACAGGTTGTTCCGGTTAAAATTACTATTATTGTTGTTGTTACTGCCACTTTTGTAGTTGTTGTTGTTGTGTTGTTGGGTGGACAAATTTTGCTGAGAACTGTACATGTGATGATGGGAATTTTTTACTCTATTGGGATTAAGGAAATGTGGCCCACCATTCATTCCGTCCTGAGAACCGAGCGTTTCGATGTTTAGATCCGCTAGCGTCTTGGGGACGAATTCCGATTTTGGACGACAGGCGGCTTCCTCTCGTCTGAAATGGATTGAAATAGAGTCGTTAGGATGCGAAGTATGCTGGTTGGTTTAAAGTATAGGTAATTCAAAATAATGCAACCAAAGAAGAGGCACTTTGATTCAGAGACGAACCAGCCCAAGGCTGAAAGTCTCTTTAATAAAGAAAAAAAAAAAAGAGGCACTTTGAATGAGGGGGGCGGGGGGTGGACCTTTTCCCCACTCCCCTCAGAGCCTTGAGACAAACGGAAAATTATCTTGCTTCTGATAGTCCATCCATTCGAGTTTTTTTTTCCACGAGGACGAATAATAGACCCTTACACGAAATCATCTGTCAAAAATCAACACTTATACCACAGACAGACATACAAATTAGTACCGTTGTACTCCTTTAATCTAGTACCTCAAAATGTACAATTTATGGTACTACCTTATAGCAGTACAACGGTAGTAGAACAGTGCACTTTGTATGTCTGTACAAGGTATTAGAGATAACTCGTACTCCAAAGGGTACGAAAACTGTACTCAGAGTTAATATATTTGCAGTTAGTAAATTTGAGTTACTCATATTTGCTTCAAAATAAAAAAAAGTAGTCTAATATTGTTCATCTAATAATGTTCAAACAATCGCCGTCGGACCGAATGCTTTGATTTCAAGATTAAGTTTCATCCAAGTTAGCTGGCTCTTGTCCAAGTCAGGGGATGCATTGGCCTCTTTTGTTTTCTAGGGATCGATGGCTAAAGTGTAATGTCTTTGAATTTTTTGGTGATGTGGTGGTGCTAGTGTTTCTATTCCTCAGCCATTTCTAGCTACCCGGGAATTTAAAAATTGCTGAAGATTCTTCCCGAGAATACTCGGTAATCGGGAAATATTTTTATCCAGTGACCACTTATAATTTTCAGTAGTTATATATATTTAAGTTTGAACTTTGCCAGGATTTCCCCGGAAGATTTTTCCGATATTGTTTGGAAGTTTTTTCCAACTTCCCCTTGAAGATTTCGACCAGCTTCTTCGGAAGGATTCTTATGATTTTTCTGGGAGGTTTCGTCCGAGTTTACATGGAAGTTCATTGCAACCAGTGGCGTCCCGTAACCTCACTTTTTACCTGTGCACCAACTTTCAAAACCAGATTTAATGCCATATTCATACTCGAATCGGTTGAAAAATACATTTAAGCTTCTAGTTTACTCGATATCTATCCATTGCAAGCAATATTTTGATAATTGTTTATGTTTTGATAGTTGGTGCACAGGTTGATTGAGGTTAAGGAAACGCCACTGATTCCAACATCTCCCGGAAGTTTTTAAACTTGCCCTGGAAGAATCTTCCACCTTCTCCATCAAATTTCGTCCATCGTTCAACGGAAGTTTCATCAACTTTCCGTTCCACCAGTCTCTTCCGATTACCCTCAGAAGTCCTACTGGCTACCGCTGGAAGAGGAAATTATTTCCAATTTCAAACGGACTTCCCACGGAAAACTTTTCTGAATTATTCTGTTAATTTGCATGTGTCTTCTGACTCCCAAAATTTCTTTCAACTTTTTCTGAAAGTCTCTTCTAACTTCACCCGGGAATTTCTCACAGATTGTCTCAGAAGCATCTACCGGTTTTGTTTGATAGATTCTACGCCAGGAAGCTTTCCTGTCTTAGCTTCACCAACTTTCTCCTGAAGTTTCTTCCAGCTTTCCTAACGATGGTGTATTCACTATCTACAGGTTGGGACGCTGGAGAAAATCAAATTAATTTGTAACATCCTTTGGAGTTATGAATTTTGGTTGGACCTATCCAAACATGAATCATGTTGGATCTATTTTTACCAGCGCTAATTTAGTCCAAGAAAGTCTAAGAAACTTTTCTAAAAGCTCATTACTATAAAGAAAAAGATTTGTTTTGATGATTAACATAATTTTGGATTTATTATGTTTTCAAAAATAGCTCACTTTGAACTAGTTTTCCCATCGGCTCACTTTAGAACGTCGACAAGAGGAATGTTTACTCACATTTTCAAAGTTTTTGTGCAGTATAATACTACTAAAATATGTAAACTTCATGCTAGCAGACTATTATTGCATTATTTTTATTGAAAAAATTGAATATTTGGCAAAATTCCTAATGAATATTTGTGTCATTGTTGGACCTAGCTATTTCCTGCATTGGTTTTTAAGCGTGCTTCGGTTTGTTTACAATTTCCTTCGCGCGTAGCAACATAATTTTCTGTTTACTTTCCTAGTCACAACTTTCTTAAGAGGAAGTAGATGAATTCTCGTGTGATTTGAAGCATCGCATAATGGATTTTAATCCAAGTCTAAAACTGGTTACTTTCCTAGGGGTTTCCGGAAATTGACTGGATCCTGGCTATTCCAAATAACTGTCATTGAACTGGTTGTTGAATTTTAATGTGATTCAGAAACTGGCAGAGTTCCCCTGAAAATTACTTTCGACTTTTCCCGGCAGTTTTCTCTAACGTCCCCTAGAAGTGTCTACTGGCTTCCCCAAGCAAATCCTGGGTTGTGTGGTAACTTTTAATAAAAATATGTTTAGTATGACTTTTGTACCAAAAAAAAATAATAATTCTCGGGAAGTCAAACTAGTTTCCTGGGAATCGGGAAATGATAATTCTGGTAAATTTCCCGGTTAGGAAACACTAGGTGGTGTGATTTCAAGACCAATGAAGTTGGAATTCGGCAAATGTTTTCAGAAAATTATTTTTAGCTCATGAAAATTAATACTCAATCTCACACAATCGGTCAAAGAGGACACTACAAGTCGGTAATGAGGAAACTCATCCTTAATAATTATAATTAATAATCACGGTGTACCGTGATTAGCAACATTTTATTTACAAGCATTCATAACGGAAGAGGGATATAAATCTCTGAGAATATTTAGCTACACAGCAAAAAAATAATTTTGATATCACATCAAAGTGGATGCACTACAATCATGTCGAAAATTTCATGTAATTTTTATGACCACATAAATAAACAAATGCAGTAAAAGCAGTGTAATGTCAGTTCATGCATTGTATTAATGATAATTTTGTCCTTTTTAGCAAGCAATATTACACCATATTTTCGACATGATTGTAGTGCATCCACTTTGACGTGATATCAAAATTATTTTTTTGCTGTGTAGACAAAGTCAGAGTTAGGGTCAACTATCTCCAGAAGCGTTCGTTGTTTCTTCTGATACTGCTACAATCAGACATCAATAGCGACGAGTTAATCATTTTGTCAAGCTTATGCATTCATGTTCCATCAGATGTCACTGCTGTTGTTTGCGGTGACATCTATCGGAAACTACGCACAATCTGTTTTCCGTTAATTGTTCACAGAGGACAGCGCAGTGCAAAACATGTCTGGTACCTCTATATAGGCATTTCGATTAATATTCGAAGTCCCTGCAGGAAGCCCACTGCAACATCCTGTGTCAGGACACTCTCATCCGGTTGAGTAGATCCGGAACTGATGCCACCATCGACATCATCATCAGTAACATTGGCGATAACATCTCTCAACCTATCGCCTATCAGGAACTGAGCTCGGACCACTATCCGATGGTGGCCGAAGTAGGTTCCTCGGCCAATAGGTTTCAAGTTTCCCGGCGAAATTACCATCGTGTCAACTGGCAGCAGTACCAGCGCTGTGTGGAGACAGCAATCGAGTAAGGCGTCCTACCGGAGTCGTTCGAAGAAGTCGATCGGTGTCTGCAAACCATCGAAGATGCGAATCCCGTGCCAGGGAGCAACACGTACCAGCATCCAGACAGGTGAGTCATACTCTGAACCTTGACAGCCCAACCAAAGATCTTATCTGGCTCCGTAACACCATTCGTAGGCAGTTGCCCCACTTCAAGACCAATGTCAATAGGCTAACCAAAATGGTCCAGGCCAGGATGGTGGAACTCAGAAATAACGATATTGCCAAAAAGGCTCGTTCTCTCCCAGATTGTGCAAAACCATTTTGGAAGATGACCAAAATTTTGAAAAATAAGTCGAGACCGATCCCTCCGCTTTTCTCTGTTGACCAGAACTCGGACCCATCCCTACTCATAACCCCAGTTAAAAAGACCAATGCTCTTGGTCAACCTTTTGTGATTTCACATAATCTTGGCCAAACCATGGTGAGCCCCCATGAGCCTGCCGTACTGGAGGCAATGTCTAGAGTCGCTGACACCCGGGTTTAGGAAAGGTCATTCAACGATCCACCAACTAAGTAGAGTTACTAACATCATCAGGCGGAACAAGTCCGTTTCAAAAACATCTGCTATGGCATTGTTGGACTTTGAGAAGGCGTTTGACAATGTCTGGCATGATGGCCTAGTGTACAAACTGCATCGATACTACTTTCTGATCTACCTCGTGAAGATCATCAAAAACTACTTGTCGGGCAGATCATTCCAGGTATACTTGAACAATGTCCCCTCTGATACTTTCAACGTTGATGCAGGGGTACCTCAGGGTAGCCTGCTTGGGCATATCCTATTCAACATTTTCACATCAGATGTTCCTCCCCTGCCGTGGTATCCTGTCAATGTTCGCAGATGACAGCTCCATCATCTATAAGGGTCGAGTGATCCGTGCTCTGGCGAGTGAACTACAATCAGCCCTGGATGTTCTGTCCGACTATTTCAAGAGCAGGAAGATTTGAATCAATGCAGCTAAAACACAAACCATTCTCTTTCCACAGTCGAATTCACCTCGGCTTGTTCCGACTGCTAACGTCAAGGTCCATCTTGATAGCACTCCCATTGAATGGTCGAATGAAGTACTTGGTCTCACCCTCGATAGCAAATTACTATTCCGATCCCATGTGGACAAGACATCCACCAAGTGTAACATCTTCATCAGGTCGCTCTACCCTCTGATAAACAGGAAGTCCACCCTGTCCCTCAAAAACAAGCTTGCTGTCCACAAGCAGATCATTCTGCCGGCTATTCAGTATGGTATGCCAATCTGGGAGAGTTGTGCTAAGTGCCACCACTTAAAGCTTCAAAGGATCCGAAACAAGATCGTCAGAATGA